AGCCGCGGACTTCGTTGAGGATGGAGACTTGCTCGATGACCTGCTCGTACAGGGGAAGGACGTCGGAGGACTTGACATAGGTGCTTTTGTCTTGCTTGAGGAGGAGCAACTTGTCTCTGACAAGGAGCAGCTTATCCAGAATCGGCTTCTCTTGAGGCCCGACGGGTGCAGTTGTAATGGGTGAATCAGACATGATCGGTAGCGTTCATCTGAGGCAAGAATTGATAATCTGGGGAGGGGCAGCGGTTGAAAATGGCGCAGCGGGTGTGCACACTAGAGATGTCAGGGTAGGTTCTTCTTGATCGTTCAGCGGGCGTTGACACGATTGTAGGATAAGTTGACAAGTGGTTCTCAAGCAACAATTGACGGATGCTCGGTTTGGCGGTGGACAAGTTTGACTGCGTTTGCCTGCGCATTGCATGCACAGTGAATGTGGTGGGATGCATAGGCTCGGCCTCAGTATGATCATGGAATTGGTGGGCATTGCCGTAATGCTCGAAAGACCAACTGCCCCGCGTGGCTGGAACTGGAAGCAGGTCACTAATCAGAGGCGCCACCGAAGAGCGCGAGCCCCCGAATAAATGGAAAACCCGTCCGTCCCGGGCTAGCCTGATGCCCAGACTGGTGGGCTTACTAACCATGTTCGCCGCCTAAGTTAACTCCCCAGGCTCCCTGGGGCTGCCCCTCGCCTTGGCATTTTGCTTTCGCGGTCCGATCTCCCCACCTTTTCGCGATGCTCTGGATAAGGCCGTGATCCCCAAGGCCGACAGCCTCGTTCTAGCCTCGTCTCCCTCTTCCTGCGTACCACCACCACGTCGATATCGTATCCCAGAGACGGACATTTCTACTGCAGACTCCGGCAGCCATGCAGTCGCGCCACGCACTGTACATCAAGATCACCATACTCTGCCCTTCACTGGTCTGATTGACTGGATTCTTGCTTGGGACGTGTCCAACATCCGCCACGGGGCTCACTCTTCCGTCGCGGCTAACACGCTTCGCGATTGCCCGACGATTCTGTTCAGCCCAGTCGAGGAAGGATGGCACTCCATAGACCTCTGGTAAGAGAACTGCTAATCGGTATGCTGCTGAAGCCATGAGTGCAGTACCGGCAGCATCTCCATACGCCCAGGCAGCAGATCGATGTGACGGCCCATCCAGATAGTTCTTCAAGAGACCCGACTTCTCATCCCGTCGCTGCTTCATCGTGCATAGCAGCATAGCATCAATAATATCTTTCAGTGCCGTTGTGCTCCTAGACTTAAATGTGTCGTACTGGACCCGATTGATTGAACTGTCCGGAGGGGGCAGCCACTTCAAGATCGTGGCCAAGACGTGAGTCATTCCTGCTACGGCCCATGCATTGCTGGTAAGCCAAACATCTGGGTCCGAGCAGCATACTCCCGGCTCTAACTCTGCTGGCTCTGAGATAATGTGCCGCCACAAGCCGTAACAAGTTTGCCCATCGTCAAGCGAGATGCTTGTTCTCAAGACGGCGTTGTAGAGCTGACACTGCAACACAGCTGTTTCCAAGATCTGCATCTCCTGTGCTGCCACACCGTAATACGCCAGGAATGGAGGCACCATGTAGATGAAATCGCCCCAAAGTTCAGGAGGCTCATCACGGTGTGAAATAGCTGAGTGTGTGGCATTGACATGGAACCTCGTGGCCTTTTTCGTGAGGAACTCGGCCTGTCGCTTTGCAGCCTCATAGTAAGTTCCATCATACTGGGATAGGAGCAAGGCGGGTTTGCCCAGAGACGCCGGGTCCGCTGCTGAGCCTATGACGCCGTGAGACTGGGTGATACCGCGATAGAAGCATATTCTTTCTTCTTAATCATGAAGCAAGTGCTGTTGTTATTACTTACCTTCACCATCAACCAGCAGATCCGAGCTGTTAGTCCATATCACAGATCTTGCGTACGCAAGACCCTCAACTTTCGACGTGTCAGCAACCCTAGGAATCCGCCCGCGCGGAAACGGATCAGAGTCGAAGATAGTCAGCTCTCGATCGTAGAACTCAAGGAGAGCTTCTGCGAATGTCCCAAACTCCCAGGAGCGTGAAGTGATCGCGCGGCCTCGGGCAAGGACCTTTTGCGGATCGAAGCCTGCGTCTGGGGTGGAAAGAAGGATCCAGACGGCGGCCGCGCATGCAGCCATGGCCAGAGAAACCGCATAGTTCTTCATGATAGCGACCTTGATCACCGATCCAGGGTCGAGGCGCCACCCTTTGTGGATGCCGAGAGTAGAAATGATTTCGAGTTCTAGTGGGACTAAATCAGGCTAAATGTGCTGAAATCGCCGTGCTTGGGTATTATTGTCACACAGCCTGATATCCGTGTCGTGATGGTACGAAGCCGATATTCCATCCGAAGCAAAAGCTATTGTCAATTTTGATTTACTGTAGGAGTAACAAGATGAGCCTCAATCTGCATAGAACCACGACTGCCTCATGTGGCCGGCTTCGGCGCCCGGCTTGCCACCCTCTTCAGGTACACTCATAAACCCTCTCCCCTTCAAACCACGTACCCAAGACTTTGGCTCCCTTAAATTCGCCCTTGCTCAAGTCACAGTCGACCATGATGAAGTTGGCTTTCTTTCCAACCTCAATAGTCCCAGTCCAGCTCTCTCGGCCGGTCGCCACCGCACCCGCTACGGTCAAGATTCTGCAAATCACCTCAGCAGCCGTGCTGGCCGCGCCTTCGGCTGCTGGCAATGCAGCAGCAACATTGTCCATGATGAGAGCGCAGGCGGGCAGAATGGATGGATCTTGAAAGGCCCAGTCACTGCCAATGGTCAGGTGAGCTCTGTTTTTGATCATCTTTCCCCAGTTCCAGTCCATCAGGCCCCCTGACATCGTCGTCATCGGATGAACGAAGAACATCGACGGAGACATCTCGGCGGTCAAATTCAGCTGCTGGAAGCGAGGGTAATCGTCTGTCTCCATTAGCAGCTTTTCTAACCAAAGCGAAATGGAAGCTTACCATCATGCACCCCATTGCAATGTGCAATTTCATGTTTGGGCCCATGGCTATTGCCCGCCCTCACAGCTTCATACATGTCCAGGGCTCGACGTGTACTCCCATATCCTGTGCAATGGATCTTGCATGTCATCCCTCTCGCATCCAACTTCGCAACAGTTTCAGTCAGGTCATCGATGTCGATCTGAACCTTGCTCTCGTCGATATCTCCAGACTCCGTGAGACCAGCATGCGTATAATACGGATGAAGCGGGACACCATCCAGCATTAACTTGGCGAAATTGGTCTGAACATGTTTTGACCGGAAACTTGCCGCGTCATCGAGCGTCTTGTGCAGCGTTTCGAAACTTTCTTCGCCGAGCTGCTCCGGTTTATACACGATATGCGTTTGCACATCCATCTTCAATTCCCCACTAGCGTCGAGCTCGCCCAGTGCTTTCAGGATGACTGTATTCGACGCTGCTTCTTGGAAGCTTGTCACTCCCACAGAATGAAGCAATCTCACTGCATGCAGAATACAGCGTTTGATATGTGCCATTTCCGGCTTCGGCAGTGCCAATGCTGCCTTTGTCATTGCCAGCTCAGCCACTTCACCTGTCAGGGTTCCATCTGGCCGACGGGAGTAATGGTGGTGCGGCGCATCAGGCTCGGTGAGGCTGTAACCTGATCTTTCCAATGCGGCGGTATTGAGAAACATCCCGTGGCCCGCACCTCCACGCAAGAGCACTGGTGTGTTGGTAAATTCAAGGTCCAGTGCTTCTCGATCGAAATTCTCAATGTGGTAGAGGTCCCCCACTATCCAATCGCCATATGCATGGGCATGTTCACAGTCGCATGCATGCGACTTGAGTCTTTCACCAATGTTGGATATCGTGGCGTCAAAGCCAGGCTTCACGTTCGACAGACGTGAGAGACCTGCTATGAGAATATGGACGTGGGCGTCGTGGATGCCAGGCATAACAAATCGATCCTTCAAATCGAACGTGGGAAAGTTTTCGCGAAGTGCAATGTCTAGGACGTCGCGGTTTGTTCCCACTACTGTAAATTCGCCTGTTTCTGAGACTATGAACGCCTCAACGCGATTTCCATGGTCGTCTGCCGTGAAAACGTTGCCTGAGTGGTATACCACAGGTCCTCGGCTTCGGAGTTCTGCTGCCATAATCGTGAACAAAACGCGGCCTTCGATGTTATCCGAAGCAACGAGGAAAGTCAGAGGTGTCAGAGTTGCAATGAGCGACTTGCGATGGGCTTGTCCAGTGATGGAAGTCAGTTTGACGAGAATTCAGCAATAACGCCTACACATGTAAAGGTTCGGCGAGCCCCTCTCTTCAATGTTTGTTCTATGTACTAGCACAAAGCTCAGTGCATACTTCATTCGGACTTGGAAGATGTCAGCACTGCCGGCTAATTTGATCCTGTGGCGGCTCCTCTACTGAATTTGGGGCCTCGGAATCTGTCAGCATATCTTCTGCCTCGCCTGTCAAACAGGCTGTGTAATAACAGGTGTCATGGCTCCAATACTGAGCAGAACTGACAATGCACAATTCATGGTCTGGCCAAAAGTTACAGATATGGTCTAGTGACGACACCTTAACTTGGGCGAGGTCACGGATGGTGCGGTCGGTAGGTACCTAGCGAGCAAGGTGTGTACGGAGTCGGGAGGAATAGTTGGTGAGATGTTGGACTTAAATGGCTGACATCAGCAACCCTGCCATTTCTAGTATAGCGTCTTTCTGGGCGCCAAGCCACTTCCTGCGCCACTTTTAGCGCTGCGCTATCAAGCACTCGACTCAGGGGCTGGTGGGCTGAGCTTGAAGAGGTCTTGACAGACCTTTCTCCAGACCTCGAACATGGTCTCATAAATCTTTCCCCAGCTGCGACCTGGCCCAAGCAGCATGAAATTGTTCCAATGGGTACATGTTTGCATTTGGAGGCCGTGTACCTGAAGAAACCGTGACATACCCAGTACATACTAGCATTTATCGAAAGAATTCGACTCAGCAGCAGGAGCCAAGCCGATCAAAACATGTGAACCTTCGCCGTGAGATACATGGACGGGAGCAGGCTCCTGTTGTCGTTCAAGCTCTCAAGAGCCGCCTGCAGGTACGTCGGGGTCTTCTTGAGAACAGAGGCGCTCAGGTTCTTGTCCAAATGATCGGCCCGCATCTCCCAGAACTTCTCGAACAGGAACCCTCCTGCCTTCACGGCCGCCTGACGTCCTTTCTCTTTCATCTGCTCAAGCTTTTGGTTAAAGAAGCTTGGCTCATCGTCGGAATCGTTACCATCTGCGATGTCGTCTAAATCGTCCTCGGGCTCGCCTTTGGGTTTGTCATCCCCGTCTTTCTTCATCATTTTGGTCAGCTCTTTCGACAGCTCGGCCTTGAAACTATCTGCGTCCTTGGTTTGGAGATGCGCCTTCAGCAAGCCGCACAGCTTACGCTTCTTGCGCCTCATGTATGTTTCCCAATGAGCTTTGAGCCCTTTTTCCGGAGCCGCATTGTGAAAGTCGATCTCGGTCGTGGCGATGCGGTGCCCGTAGTACTGGTGTGTCAAGCCTAGCTCAAGGTTGCACAAGAACCACTTCGCGCCCGGGACTCCTGAGAACCGCGCCAGCACCCACTCACCAGCAATTGCGTCCAACCTTTGCTCTTGAACGAACTGGATCATACGGCTGACCTTCTTTGCTTCTTGCGCGTCGCCCTCATCTGTGACCTCGATTTGTGGGTTCTCCTCCGACTTTGAAGCGTTATCCTCCTGTATCGACGATGACGGCGACTTTATACCGAAAGATGAGGTTTTCACCCTTGACATCAGCCGATTTCTCTTCTGGCCGTCTTTCTGCTCTCGCAATACCTTGTTTTCGACAGCATTGACAACGTCAAGCTGCTTCTGCAGGATGTGCTTCTCGCAGGAAAAGCCGACCAAGGTCAGAGCAAAACCAGTGCTGATCATACACCAGCCACTGATCTTCTGATCATTGCTTGCTGCATGTTGAATCTGTCGTTTGAGCTTATCTGGCACCAGCATCGTAATTATAACACGCTGGATGTCGAAAGTCCCTTCGATTCCCGAGTTTGTTACAATAATTGGGTTAGGACAGATCATATCCTCTGGTTCAGAACGAGGCTTCACTGGTTCCGACGCTGTGAGACCAACAGTAGTTTCTATGGTTCCAGACGGTATGGGTGGTATTGGAGGTGGGAGGGGGGTAGTTGTAGCTGCGTTCTGGTTTGAATTTGTAGTGATTCCTTCAACCTTTCCGATGAACGCCGCGACAAGGTCAAACTTTTGCTTCTCCAACTCCTGGCGAGAATCCTCTTGTTCTCTTTCAACAAGGGTCTCAGCCTCGCTGAATGTGGAAGAAGGTGAAATTGCCAAATCCGGGTCACTGATGTTTTTGGCTGGTGTTGACTCCTCGTTAGATCCCCGTTTGCCGAGCGAAAGCCCCGGTCTGCCAAACCCCTTTTTGGCAGCCTTGACGTCAAATCCCAGCGAAGGTCGTGGAGGTAAAACTTTAGTTGCCAAAGAACTGCCCTCTTTCATGAATGACTGCGCCAGCTTCGGCGGCTTGGCTGTGGCGTCATCCGAGCTCTCCTTCGCAGGTCTTGGAGTGCTCAGGTTCTTTTGGATATCCTGCATGAATTGGCGCATAAGGTCGAGGCACGGCTCTAGATCCTTGAAATCGACTGTTTTGACAAATTCTAGAATCTTTTTGAAGGGGTCGACCAGAAAGCTCGTCTCTTTGCCTTCCTTGACAAAGGTAATCGCTTCTTTTAGCACGGTAATGGACTTTTGGAAGCTCACCATTGTTGTGTATCGCTCTATCTCGAACCTCTTTGATAGTTCTGCAGTTTTCTCTGCTAGGAAGTCCCTCTCATTGATTTTTGGGACTTTAAATGCCTCTAGCACCGAAGGATAGAGGGATCGGCCTCGAATGGGACTGCCGAAATGTGGTCCACTCCAGTTGAAGATCGAAACATCGTTCCAAGAGACGAGAACTTCATCCAGAAGCCGCGCTAGAGCCTTCGTCAGACCCTCGGCGTGGAACGTAGGAAATCGCACATTTAGCAAGCCCATCAATGAGTATACCCTATCAGTCTCAACACCGGAGTCCCTGATACATGCAAGTGGCATGACGGTATGGGCAGAGAAATTCATTCTGATAACACCATCTTGCCAGTTCTTGAGGCCGTGGATGCCGCCAAACTCCGCTATATATTCTCTGTCTTGCTTGATGAGAGGCATTGTTGTCGTGACAAAACATTGAAGAAGCATGTTGATTGCATGCACTATACTGTTCCGGTCAAAGTGGACAGTGCTGTTTCCAATGGGGCCGTAGGATTGGAGGAAGTCCATGAGGGATCGAAGCAGATTGTGAGCATTCGAATGACCGTTGCTCTGAGAACTTAGGTTCATCGCTGCAACATAGACCGCCTGGGCCATCTGCGATACAGCGGACTTCTTGTCCATATCTTGCGGAATCTGCATTCCCAGAACCTCAAGGATCGTTAGAAGCTTTTTTGCTGCTGTGATGGCTTTTGCGTCTTCTCTGTCCTGTGTCTGGGGCTGTTGCTGTTGAATAGGATGTTCTGAGCTTGTCCTCGAGCCACCGTTTTCGAGCGCGCCGCAAGGATTCTAATTCCAGAGAATCAATTACATGAGTATCTCTGAAGTTTTCATGGGGTCTTTCTCACCTGCATCCCTCCTTTGTCTAGAATATAATCAAGAGCCTCATGTTGTGAGAGACTCTTGAGAGCATCCTTGAAAATATTGTTCGTTTCCTGGCCGATGTAAAGGTCGATAAAGGGAGAGCTATAGTAATAAGGACCAAGGTATTCCACAGGCCTGCTCAACGGCTTCCAAGCAGAATTGAGATAGAATGTAGTCTTACTCATGACTAGTTCTTGGAGTGTCCACCCTCGCGTCGCCCATTCTGGCTCATATTCGTGGATGCTCCTGAAGCTTTTGATGTTGGCTTCCTGAAGTGTGCTGCGCTTGAACCGATCCCACTCGTCGATCCATTCTGTTTGGGACCCAGGACCCTCTAGATACACAAGACAAAAGTCTGCGTCCTTGTACCAGTCACCCATGAGAGAAAGAGAGTCGTTCAGTTCGGCGGGGTCCTTCTTGTCGATACAGCATGTGTCTAGCCACAAATATCGCTTTTTGGCGGTCTGGTTGAGAATAGATTTGTGATTGTCCATGTCGCCGTCGAACGAGTTGGCGACGACCGTATTGCTGCTGAAGAGCTTGTCATTGAAGATGATTTTGGCCTGCTCGATTGACTGTTCAATTTTGATCGCCGATCTCCAATGTTGTAGCCGGAGTTTCATCTCATCAACGGCTTGTCCCACTTTGCTATTCCTGTAAAATGTAACGAACTCCTCGTTTTCTCGGTTTTCTAAATATGCCTGTTCGGCATTTCTGAATGCAACCCGGGCATCGTTAACCTTGTCTTCCAGTCGACTTATGACGCTCCGATCCGGGTCGGCTCTCGCGGTATTTTCGTCCACGCCCACTTCTTTCAATAGATCATCAAACACATCGGTCTGCACCTCAGCATATCGGAAGTCGGTCAAGGCCGAATCGAGGGCCTTTTTACAGTTATCAAGCCTTTTCTTGATGGAATCGGCATGTGCAGATCTGCGAAGAAGCGACCTGACGACGTCGCCCTCTTGCCTCAACTTGGAGTCGCGCACAACATCAGGAAGCATTTCCAACATTTCTCTCTGCTTTTCGATATCTTGCCTACATTTTGCCTTAATGAGCTCGGTGTCTTTATATTTTTCCGGCAGTTCAGCTGCCTTTTGTTGGACACCGGACACGTATTTGTAGTCGACCTCTTCTCCCTTCCACCTGTGCGAGAGTACGCAGTACTGCCCCACTACACCAATCTCAGGCTTTCTCCACCAGGTCTCCCGTGTCAATGTCCCACATCCGGTACGGGCTGCGACCCTTTGTTGTAGACGGACCCAAAAGCTCAATGTCGTTAATACCAGGAAGTCTGAGTGATTTATCGTCAATGAACGTGGGCTTGAAATCGGGTATGAAGATCCCTTTCAGCAAAGTTCGTAACTTCTCTGGCTCAGTGCGCAAGACTTGGTCCGCGAGGGCCCTGAACTGAACACTCACGTCAACTGACGTGGAAGCCATTGCTCTGTGCAGACAGCTTCTTCAACAAGACAAAAGGAAGGTGGTGCTTTGCGAGACCCAATTTCTGACTTCAGGGGTATCCGCTGGCAGGACGGACAACTTGGCGAGTTCCCCTGGATGGCGAAAAGTCGATTGGGGTATTCTTGACCGATATATGGAGAGAAGCTCCTTGGGAGATCGTTCTCAGCCGCATTCATGCTCGCCCGCCCCGAGATATGACTGCGTCAATCAAACACATGTCGTTTGGAGATTGGGCCAAATCTGCACGTCTTCGACATAATGCGCAATTGCCAGCGATTGGTGGGCCATAGAAAACGCGAATCCTTCAGAGGTTGGTGGCCTTCAGCCTTACGCATAGTGGAGGGTGTATCCCTCACTACCGGATAATGCGGCTCACAGTGGACGACTCGCATGCGAACTGTTCACCTTTCACAACGAACCGTGCACGCCATCGGGGCTGAGTTCTTTGATCCAGCCAGCCTATTTGGTGTCAACAGATACCCTAAATGGAGTTTCACGTAAGTAACCGGTGACACGTCACGCCGCATCGACTCCTCTCCGGTGTCCAAGAAGTTATATCTACGAATCAGTATATTAGCCTCATGTGTCTGTCTCAAAGAAGTCTCTTGGTCTGCAGAAATCTCACTGTTGTCGCCCAATCAGCATGTTGAAAAGAATCCGTTTCAATCTGATAGCCACCAACAAAAGTTCTGATGGAGTTCGGGCCGCACTGTTGAACACTGCCGGATCCCTCTCGGGATTCCCTCAAAGTGGTCAGACTTTATCAGAAATCTGGCTGATGTCTAGGCTGCTGCCTCCTCGAAATGTCCTGTCAGTTTCATAACAAATACTATTGTAGCGTCGCAGACACCCATGTACCGCCTTTATGGCCTCTTACAATCGAGTTCTGGAGATCTTTGGCAGAGATCATGCCCCTAGTATGCAGTGCAATCAGTATGTTGCTCGTTTACAACGATACAGAAAGACCGCTGAGAGTTCTGGCAGTGACATCCACCCATGGGAGATCTTGATCAACGGGGAGCGCTGGCCTGGCAAAGTTCGGCTCATCGGATTTGTCGATGCCTTCTTTTTGATGGCTTACTCTTCTAAAGAACGGTTTGAGCATGGAATCATTGTCTATAGTAAGTCATACAGACCGATTCTCGTGCGTCGCGGAAGACTTATCGAAAGCAGAGGATGATGATGTCATTAGGAACATCCTGGAGAGCACCGGAGTTTCTGCTAAAGATAAGAAATTGGAAGTGGTTAATGAGAAAGAACGAAGGAACCATCCTGACAGTACGTATGACCTTCGCGGAACAATTTGACTTCATTGCGTAGACCTCTGAATGAACATGTCAAGCTGAAGCGGCGACTGTATCCAGTACCTGAAAAGTACTTTAGCTTCAAGAAAGACGCCATCCACTACACAGTGACGAGTCTCGGGCACGAGGTCGGCCTCAAGACCGAATATCCGAAATCAAGCCTACAGAGATACGAGGTCAAAATCCGTAAGAACAGCGATGTTCTCAAGAACAGTGAGTTCATGCACCGCTAGTAGTGTTCAAAGCTCAATGCTGATGCTTATCCTTACCTAGGGCACATCAAACGAGGCGTGAACCAGCATGGCCTTGCCGACATGATGTACGATGCGATTAAACTTGGTTTTATCACCCACGCCCAATTGGTGGTGCTCTCGACCAAACTTCTTGCGAGTACGGGCGCCGGCGACATCATGAATAGCTATTGGAACATTATCAATGCTCCTGGTGATGCTGCCGTGCTATCGAACGAAAGGACATGAGATGTCAAATTTCATAGAGCCGGAGAGAGATACGAGGTAAGCAATTCTCTCTGGGGTTCTCGCCTGGCAGCACTTATGTCATCTTCACTGGCACTCTGGACAATGTGGTCTCTGTAGGTCCGTATCGAGGTACTATTTCACAACCACTAAAAGTGGTACAATGAAAGTGTATTTGGAAAGGGGGCCGAGAACGGAGCTGGAGAGCGCCAGAGAGCGATCGGGGCATCAGACGAAGAAATCCTCTAAAAGCGGCAGCAATGTTACTGGGTACTGAGAAACCTTCCCCTACAAACCTGCGTTGAATGATGTGAGGCCTTGTGGTGCCTTAGCACTTGAGTGCCTACCGAGTCAGTGTCATACCAGATAGTCATATAGTCACTCGATACGATACCCCCACGTTCCCACAGCTATCCATGTCATACAATTCCTCTTCCTCCCTGACAACGGAAAATGGGGGCGCCTCGTATGGGGCTGAATCGACCGGACTCGGCTGCAACGGGTCATCCGAGTGATACAGTACATTGTGGTGCGAGCGATTTCGAGCCTCACTAGCCCCAGTCAAACCGAAGCTCAACTCCAAGCCAAGGCAACTTGACTTCTTCCTACTGCGTATCTCGACGACGATCACGGCTTAGGTCCTCCCTCCCGAGCCATCAAGAATGGTTGCGATAACTCCATCCGGTCGACGGTCTCCATCATAGAGCGGGATTGTGCCTTTGGAAAGGCGAGTAGGCTAGTGGGTTAATTGGCTTTTGGTTGCGCCCACCGTCACAGATCGCTTGTACCATTGATGGAAACGAGGCTTCTCGGAGGAAAAACTCATCAAGTGTGATCATGGGGGCCTCTTTCCTTGAATTTTCGCGACGTCTGAAGATGGAAGCTTTTCTCGTTCACCCTTTAGTTCTTGTCAATCCTTGATATGCCATTTTCAGCTCTGGAGAGCAGATCACTTTCTCTCCTTCGGGACTTCTAGAGAGGCTGGTATACTGCATGCGCGGCCGCTTTTACTCGATTAACACTACCCATTACGTCCGCCTGCTCACAGGCCAGAGCATGCCCACCTAAGATGTCGGAACTTAGTGGAAGTGCCTCCCAAGAATGGACCCGGGAGAATTGTTGACTTATTTCAGATTACAATAACGCCAATGGACCTTAGAACAGCTAGGCATATTGTCCTTTGTTGACAAAGACGGCAAAGAGCAATTTTCAATTCGACTTCATTCAGAAGCATCAAATTGCCACCTGCCCCCTCAAGCGGTTTTGGACAAGTCAATCGGGCGCTGGAAGCTATGTACGCATCCAACCGCGCATCAAAAGGGGCTGAACTCCCGCATCGCCCTCCCCGCCATCCACGGAATTTAGAGGCAGACACTAAATGCTGGACTATTGAGTTCCTTCCAGAAAATGAAAACGTGCACTGGTTCTTAACTGGGGTAGACTGAACTTCGACTGATTTTGGTCCCCTCGAGGATTGTTCTGTTTCCCTGAGGACTGTCGTGAGTCTCGTGCTGGCTGATACCTCTCCTGCAGTTGTCTAATTGGAACCCTCTTTCTCTACCTGCTTCAACTCCAGGGCGTACAACGATGTGCGCCAGAGGCTTACCAATCGCTCTGGCATACAAGACAAGCCCTTCAAGGAAATATGGGAACGGTCGTGGTCAACGTTGGAGAGTTTTTTTTTCAGGTGATGCAAGACACCGGTCGCATGGAGAAGAGCATGGATGTGACATTATTCCCCCAACAGCCTGACGGATGCCTGGAAGAAACCCTCTGGAGCGAGACTCTCCCGCCTATTCTTGACGAACAGGGTAGAGTAAACGGCTTCTACCACCGGACTGCCGAGGTGACCAATGAAAAGGTGAGAGAAAGGAGGTCAAAATTGCTTTACTCAATTAGGGCACCACCAGCAGACCGAAGGAATCGGTTTGGGAACATTTTTTTGAAGCTCTGCGAGAAAATCCGCAAGACGTTCCTATGGCTTTCGCGTACTCCGCCGAGGATGACGCCGCCTCCGGCAAAGTTGACTTTGCAATAGTCGCTGGGCTTGCCGCCGGGTGGACATTTACGAAGGATCGACGGGTTTCCCATTCTATTACCACTGACTGAAAGCCACAAAACAAACCGATTGTGCTTCATCATCTGGACAACACCCTTCCTGGGGCATTCCTGGAAGGATTGATTGGCGCGGCTACGGCGACAGGCAGATTTCTATGGCTCTTATACCAGTCTCCGTCAGCAGCAGGCTGCTAGGCGTGGCGGTCTCTGGGCTCAATCTAAGGAGACATTATGAAGCAGAAGATGAAGCCTTCATCCAGTCTTTGTGTCGGCAAGCATCGTCCACCATCGCGTTGGTTGTCGACCGCGAAGAGGCGCATGAGCGCACGGAAAGACTCTGCAATTACAAGAAAGCGAACGGCAAATCAGAGAAATCGCTGAGCACGGCCCCGTGAGTATAATTGTCACGAGCCCACCGTTGTCCCCAAGTACTCTACGCCCTCCACCCGAATCGGGTGGACGGTATAGAAAGAAAAGGATAAGGCAAAGGATGGTTGAAGTACAAGGCTATCGATTAACGCTACCTTACCCTTTTCACGTGACAGAAAGAGGGGAAGCTATAAGAGTCTTCTCTCACCCGAACCGGCTGAGAGAGAACTCTTCCTTTTTCTTAAGCGTTGAGTCGTTGTCAATAGGACTACGTGAATAGAACAAGGCATTCAGCTACTCCAATTTCTTTGTACCTACTGCGTTGCGTAGGTCCCTGATAATAATTCGTCTAACTCCTGCAGGGAACATCATCTAGGCAAATCGACGTAAGTCTTTTGTGCTCTTGGAAGCCCCATTGCGGATTTCCTCTCGGATTGAAGAGGTCGCTTTGTGTATTCTCTCAACCTGGGTTACCCGCTAATAGCTGTGAACAGTGTACTATGAGATGGCCAGTCACCCCCTGGAAGACAGATTCGAGTTTTCATTTGTTGAACCTCTCCACCCCGAAGAAAGAGAACGTATCATGGGGACGTGACACGAACTGGTTAGTGAGCGTTAGTGAGCTTAAACCTGCCAGTCAAGAGTTTCGCTTGCGAAGGACATTGCGACTCCCTGCCACTACTGGAAACCCGCATCCGCAGGAAGAATCTTGCTGGCTGATGACACATGCTTTCCCCGCTCTAGAATACGGAAAGCTCAAAAGCGGTGTCTGATGTGTCACAGATAGCAGCAAAAACAAGTGGACAGAAGAAGTCCAGAGTCGCCTTGCTGTCGAAGCAACAGAACCGCGGAAATTAGAAGAGGCATTCATTGATTTCGTGTCCCTTGGGATGAGAAACCCGCTGTCGGCAATTACACAGCTTGCGGATGGAATTGCCGCATCTCTCGGAGATTGGAATTCTTCAGATCAGTCACCAGAGTCTACACAACAACAGCTGACGGAAAATGTCGAGTGTGCGAAAATGATCTTACTCTGTGCCTCTTATCAGAAAAGGATTGTTGACAATGTCCTCACTGTATCTAAACTTGATTCTCAGCTCCTTTCGATCGCTCCGGTTGTAATCCAACCCCTTGTTGCGGTTGAATCGTGTTAACGATGTTTCGAGCAGAATTTGACACCAATTTTATTCTTGTCGAGAGCGTCGCAGATGACACATTTGAACGTTACCACGTGAGTTGGGTATCCCTGGATCCAGCGCGACTGACGAAGATATTTATCAACCTCTTAACGAATGCCGTCAAGTTTACGAAGCTCGAAGCCGTCCGCGAGATCACTGTCCGAACATCAGCTTTCATCGATCATGTCCTGGACATGGACAATAGCGTCTGGTTCCCTGCGAAGAAACAGAAGCGAGTTCCCATGCAGTCCTCCCAAGGGAACGGGGGTGAACCGATAAACCTTCTCTTCTCAGTCTCGGATACAGGAAGACGCATATCAAATATAGCGGCTCCGCGGTCTCGGGCTCTTCGTCTTACGCGAGCTTACCGAAAACATAGGAGGCGAGATCGAGATGATTACTCAACAGGGAAAAGGAAGCATCGCATTTTACGGGCAAGCACGTCGAGCAGCGGCTCCAGATGGTCATGCGCCAATCCTCCATTAGTCGGGCTCGTCGCTCATCTCGTGGCGTACATATTCCTCATTCAGGACGGAAATACCAGTCAGAGAATCTTCCATTATCACTCCGACCGAAAGGCCCCCTTGAGTGCATCTTGTTGAAGACAACGTCATCAATGTTACAGGTGCTCACTAAACAGCTCGAACGGGCAGGTTGCACACATATACAATGCAAATCGTGGAACGGAGGCTTTGGATTTCCTACCTCGGACGAGAGTATGGCACGACTGTCAGCCCATCCAGAAGATCGAGACTCCCTCATCTAATCTGGACCTTGATATTGACTGCATATTGATGGACGTGGAGATGCCGGTATTGGACGGCTTACACTGCACATGGCGGATACGGGCACTGCAGCACAAAGGCAAGTTGAAGAGACACATCCATATCATTGCCATCACCGCGAATGCCCGTGCCGAGCAGATCGAGGGGGCTTTTGAAGCGGGCGTTGACGACATCTTGCCCAGGCCATTCCGAGTCGTGGAGCTGCTGGGGAAGCTCGAGAGTTACAGGAAGAAGGACAAAAGTTCAGTCAATGGTGAATAGTTTATGTATGACGATGTGGCCATCATTGTCAGATAGGTAAGCGGTTTACCATCGACACCGCGAGAGAAGTGTACCAGGTTGGATTACAAGAATATTATTTGTGTGGACACGCTTTTTGGCGGCATGTTTCTGGAACCTGACTGAGCCATCTTCTACTGGGCACTTTCGGGAGATTCCCATTGTGGACCCGACGAAGAAGAGGCATCGGCGGAGGATGAAGAAGAATCAGGAAGAAATGGTCTCTCCGAGGACGTGAAGTACCCCCACAAGGTCCGCGTCCAAAAAATTGTCTCCAACGTCCCGAAGACGACGAGAGAGGTAATTACAGCGATCTTGACGGCACGGGATGCGCCCAAGTTTGCAAAGCTGAGTGGAGGGTAAGAAGGATTCGGCCGACTTTGGCTTGACTGAGAAGGCTTCGCGACGGCAGCGCAGGGATGTTGATGATGAGTGGATACAGTTCGATGGCCGTATCGCCGACACAGTTTGATAAAGGGCTGAGGCGGCTGTGATGGGCGTCCTAGGTCGAGTCTCGATGCTCTAGGATTGAGACGCAGCGTTGGCAGTGGTGCAGGACGAGCTGCTAACATTGTTGGCATTTCAGGTAGAGTGACGATTCCGCAGGTCTGTAGAAGAAGGGTTTGTTTTGGGAAGAGGTTGGATGGGAGATGCGAGTGAAAACCGCGGCGCAAACTGGTGGTGGTGATATACATATTCTCAGAACTGCTACTTTTGTGACGCCCTAACTGTGTGGGCCCAACCATCTTACACTATGTGATCTAAGATGGAGTACTTACTGGTGGGTACTTATGAGAGCAGAATAGTTCCAGGAGTATCAGGGCTAAGCGGTTGCGGCACGGCCTGATTGGATGGCCTCCTCACACCCGATTCTGTTTATGGTTAGTGGTTCCACTTCGTGATCGTATTCGTGTTCTCTTTTCTTTCCCGAGAGACATCGCGGTTTGATTGCCACTTCTTCCATCTCGCAATCAGTCAGAGGCCGTTGCTTTGTCTCTGACCTCTATTCTCCAAAAAAGTCCCCCGGCGGTTTCGATGCCTCCACGACGCTCGCACCAAAAGTCGCGCCGCGGCTGTCTGACCTGCAAATACAGTCACATTAAATGTGATGAGAGCGGGCCTCCGTGTGGCCGCTGCAAATTGAGAGCAACGACGTGCGAGTACGTGAGCCCCGGGTTAGGCCTTCGGCCGCCGCAAGCTCTGCCTTTCAACCACGATGATTCCTTACCCACTAAGCACAGTCCCGAGCAAGAGCATCTGGAGGAGCCGCTGTTTCCAAAGGACCATGGCTTGCTAGAGCTTCAACTCATGCACCAGTGGTCGACGGTGACTTATAAGAGCTTGCGAAGCAAGGTTGCGGGAGATGACTATATCTGGCAGATTGCAGTGCCGCGGTGGTCGCTGCAGCACGACTTTCTGCGGACCGGTCTGTTCGCCCTCTCCGCCTTCGAGGTGGCCAGCCGCTCCACAGGAGCTTGCCGAGCGAAATACCTTGAGGCGGCCGTGGAGTATCAGACCCTCGCGCTGTCTGACTTCCGCCATCGGCTTCAGCACCAAGGCATCGATCCCGAAAGTTGTGAAACCGTCCTGTGCTTTTCCCTGATACTCATGGTGCTCGCCTTGGCCTCGTCTCAATTCATATCGGACTTGGCAGGTGACCGCCAAAGCGACAGCATGGTGCTCAACACGATCACCCACTTCGAGCTGCTGCGCGGATGCGGCACCGTTCTTGGCGATAATGCAGAGCAATACCTGGCGGAAAATTCCTACGCTCAGAGACTCACGCGGTTCGAAAAGCTAACTCGGACGCCACTCGACTCAGACACAGCGGTGGCAATGTCGAAATTGAATTCAGCCAACGAGAGAAGGATTATATCCACCGTGGGCGACTCCTACGAGCATCGGGCCCAGCATGTCGCATACTTTGAAGCGTGCAAGAAGGCAATAACTCTGCTCGAAGAATGCTTTGCCAAATGCGTCGGCCACGACGACGACCATCAGGGCTACATCTTGGGATGGCTGAATATGGCGGGCGAGGAGTACGTTCACGCCATCAAAGGCAATGACCGCGTTGCACTGCTGGTGTTGATGTATTGGGGCTCGCTGGTCGAGAAACTTAGTCATCAAGTTTGGTGGGCGAGGGATTTTGGGAGGCTGTTGGTGGAGGAGATATCTGGGACACTGTGCGGAGGAGCCGACGCTTTGACCAAGGATATCATCTCGTCGGCTCGAAAGATGATTGTACAGCAATCCGATGTCAAGGCTGACGCTGCATAGCAGACCCACATTGTCACGGCACACGGACCCACGGTACACGAATACGATCACGGTTACGATCACGATCCAGATGACACAGATCCATACCCTTTTAAAGCTTCTGCAACAAAGCTAGGCCGGCTCGTGTTCGGAAGTCGTCTCTGCAGTCTGTCTCTCCCGCAGAATGATATATGAAGAGCTCCGTTCCTATAGAAACCTTGCGCACACATGCATTTCCATCCCGCCCAATATCTCCTTGGGTAACATGAGCGATACGCCAACTCATCCCAACGTCAAGCGTTCAACCACTCCGGCGTCTCACGGCAAGGATGGTCTCCTCCAGAAAGAAACTATTCAACTGCGTGTACAGAAGGTGCCTTTCCTCCCACGGCTACCCTTCCTTGTCGAGGCACGGACGAAACTGCCCATCATTGGCGGCCTGCTACTCACTTGCTCGCCCAGCATCTATCTCTACTCTCTAGAGACAAGCCGCGACGACCATCACCAGCGCACAGACCCGAATCTCCTCGTCTGGACGTACTTCCTCACCGGCACCGTAGGCATAGCGGTCGCCATGCTCGTGCAATCTATTCTCGCCTACCTGCTCGCCTTCCTCTGCTTCAACGGCCACACCAATGCAACGACGTACCTCGCCGAGACGATGAAAACCGAACACGACGACATCAAGGATGAAGCTCACCGCAGGAGAAGACTCGAAATGTCCCGTCGCCCAGGGTATTGGGTGTTCATGCTTTTCTTCTCGTTTGTGGTCGCCGGCCTGGTCGAGGAGGTGGTCAAGTACATTGCGACCACCACCATGCTTGGTCTTCTTGCTCAACGGTCCCCGTCGTCGCACGGTAGTAGAATCGGCTCTGCGCGTGATCACATCGCCATCGCCGTCTCGGCCGGACTGGGCTTCGCCACTGTGGAAAACATAGCCTTCTTCGCGGCAGCCCGTCGACGCAAGCCCAGCGGTGACGCCGCTCCTGCCGCCCCGAACGAGAGCCAGAAAGCCGCAATGTTTGCCCTCCTCACGGCCGTTGAAAGAGTCCTGCTGGGCATCCCGGGGCACGCGATGACAGCCGCACTGATCGGGGTCAACATGCTCGTCCGCAACCACCAGCAGCATCGTCTCGGACACGGACACGATTTCTCTGGCGCCTCCAGCATGATGACTAGCGCATGGCTGGTCGTGCGCGACTCGGTGCTGTTCCACGGGTGTTCTAACTTTGTGCTCTTCGCCGTGAGCGCCGCCGAGGGGAACGTCGGCTGGGTGCATCCGCGACGAGCCAGGACCGTGTGTTTCGTCCTGGCTGTCCTGGCAGGTTTGCAGGCCGTGTTGGCACTTGTGCTGCGTGCCAGGCTGTGCCGGTGTGGGCTGTGTTGATTGATTCATATTGATTGATGAATTGTGCTTTTTTGGTCTAGATTTTGCACCGTGTATCCTATCTCGTGTATCCTATATCTCGTAACTTTCACTCTGGATCTTGCACCCGCGTGCAATCCCGCCCACGAGGCTCCAGGGTCTTTTATATCGCAAATTTTGTTCATGTCGTTTGGAGTGAAGGGGCTTTTGCTCATGGCACATGGCACACGGCATACGGTAGAGACGTAAACATTCATGATGAAACATATACAGATGGACGGAGGATGTGGTAGGTATGCTCTCCATAACCCCGTGATGATGACATAATCGAATTCTTGTCCGCCGGGTCGCGGTCATAGACACGATACGACTCAACAGCAGCAACATCATCATCATCATCATCACAGTTGATCTTCATCATCCGGATCGGGCATGCCTTCTTCATACCCCCAAGAAGCGCCGTGGACTTCTGCTGGCCCTGACGCTGCGGTATGCTTATCGTGATCTTGGGCTTGATTTGGGACGTCTTCCTCATCATAGTGCTCCTCTTGATCGTCATTTGCTTCCTCTTGCTCTCCCTCTTCCTCGTGGTTTTCTTCACCCTCTTCCTCTTCGTCCTCTGTAATACTCACATCTTCCGCCTCACTGCCCAATTCCTCCTTTACCAAATCTCGCCCCTTCAACTTTTTCCACTCCCGTTCGTATTCGCGATCAAATTCCTCGTCTGAGTTATCGGAGTCTCCACTACCCTCACTCTCCCCCTCGCTACCTGGATCATAATCCTCTTCTTCTTCGTCCTCCTCATCTTCCATCTGTTGCTGGGCTTTCTCTAATTCAGTACGCGTATCTTCTCCACATTCCACATGACCTCCGCCACCATTCTGCATCGCAGTCTTGCCTTGTGCTGTAGCATTGAGCTTCTTTGCTCGCCTTGACTCCGCGAGACTTGCATCCTGCAGACCATGTCTCTTGATGTAGGCGTCTATACCCGGGAAATCCGCCTGATCCAACATTGAAAACTCGGCCTCCTGGATTCCATCTTTGTTAGCTCCGTCGGCTGAGCTAGCTCGATACGTGATATTCAGATTAAATGTTCTCTGCAACACGGACGTGTAAGAGATACTCTCGACGTCCTCGAATGCAAAAAAGGAGAGTGGCTTTTTGAAGCCAAAGAAAATACCATTGCCCAGAAAGAAGAGGTAGCCGTCCTTACTACCGCGGAAGGCTTTGACGTGATAAGCTTTGTCGCCTTTCCGGTGAGATTCGGGTTTGGCACTGGAGAATTCTTCGGTGGTGGGCAGAGTGAGGCCTTTTCCAATCTTATGAAGGAGGTAGTCGAGAGCGTTTTCGAGGACGTCATCGGGTCCAGGCGCGATTTTAGCAAGGTCGCGGTTGGGGATATGGCAAGACTTGAGTGGACCGTCATTGACAGCCCAGATGATTGCTTCAACATTGTTACTTGATTCTGACTTCAGGAGCAGGACGAAATTGTATTGTTTCGTGGCTTTCTCTGGTACAGGAAGTCTCAAGGCATAGGTGACTTGGTCCAGGGGCACTTCCATGTCGACTTCATTGGTGGCAGGATTCCTGGTGTAGATGGCAAATTTGGTCTCAGCATCATTAATATCAGTTCCATATTGTGCTATGCCCAGATGTAATTTTTTGCGCTGCGGCAGTGAGAACGAGATATCTCTTGCTTCGAAAATCACTTCGCGTTGTTGGCCACCTTTCTGCGCCGCAGCGGCAATCGGGAGGGAGGAGCTGTCGAGGAGTTTGCGCTTCTTGAAGGTGGGTTCGTCGTTGGCAGAACCGTTCAGAGGAGCAGCATTGAGGTGATGCGCAGCAATGTCTTCGAAAAGGGGCGCGTACTGAGGAGTTGCATCTGCGGCAGGTCAATACAACGGATCCTCGTTGCAGGATCTTGCCGACGAGGATACTTACCGATAGCATCAAAGATTCTCTTCCGTAGCGGCGAATTGTTGGCGAATGCTCGATTTATAACATCGGCTCCTGACATCTTGAACCGCTCGAGAGATTCGGGAGGAGGGAGGCTGAGATGGAATACGGAGCAGGTGTCTTGTCGAGGTGGACAGGTGGTCTACAGCCAGACAGTTTACGGTGGACTGACGGATGATGATGATGCAATTCCTCCTCACGCGTCGTGGCCCCTTGGTCGCGTCCCGAGTCTTGTCCAACTGTCCAACACCCAGACCCAGGATTTCTACATTCCTTCAAGATTCGCTATGAAACACAGTCAACGGCATTGCATTCGGGAACTCTACCCAATACTCTCACACGCAATCACTGGGGTAATTGGACTCTATCTCTTCAGGCGTATTCGGCTCTATCAAACTTCTCCTTGGGCCAGAATCTCGCCTTGATGGGATTGCCGTTGAAAATTCTCCCTTCCAAAGCATTGACGGCCCGCAAGGCACTGAGCTGGCTCACGAACTGCACAAACACCAATGCTTCGTCCTCGTCGCTTTCTGGCCGGTGGATGTAGACTCTCTCGACGCTGCCGTACTTGTCTCCACATTCCTCTCCAATCTCTTGCATCAGCCCACCCTCTCCCTGCGTGAGCTCGTCGTCCAGGTCCAGGCCATTCAACATGCCCTCGAGTCGGATCACCTCCGACATTGCTCCGAACTTGCCTTCTTCCTCCGCCTGGGTAGTCTTCGATTTGTTGCCACCAAGGATCTTGCCGGTACCCGCTGGTGCGGCAAAGCCACCACCTTCTGCATCGGATTTCTTCTTACGCTTGTCGGCCTTGGCATACAACGGGTTGATGATCCCGGTGCCGTGAGCTCCTAGACCTTGGCCCTTGCTCCAACCATATTTCGCCATCAGACGTTCGGCGAATCCCACCTGACCAGGACGTTTAGATCGTGGTTCATCGCCCTCGCCATTATCATTGTCAGCGCGCTGGGATTCTGCAAGATTTTCTTCCAGATCCGCTCCAGATAGTGGTATTTCTTCTGCTGCAGCGGGTAGATCATACCGTACTGGTGCCCTGCTGATCTGGGCTGACGGTGGGATATCTACTGGAGGCGATCGAAGACCTGGATGACTTTGCTTGCCTTGGCTCCTGCGCAATCGTCGCAAGTATGCATCCTCTCCAGTCGCATCGTCCGGAATCTCAGCAGGTGGCGGCGGCGGAGGAGGGCTTTCATCATTGAGATTGGGCGGGGGGGCAAAGGACATGGCAGGGGGTGCAAATTGTTCTGCCAATGAGTCAGCGAGGTCCAAACCTTGCAAGGTTTCTTTTCCTTACTGTTCATGGGACGACGGTAGTCGTCATCTTCAGATTCAGTGTAGCTCCTCTGCCTTATGCGGTGTCTGTAAAGCAAGTCCTTCCACTCTCTGACTTCGCGGATCTTTTCCTCGCTGTGTTTGTATTCCTCATAGTTGTTCGGTCTGCTCGGATCGTAGATGTCATCCCAGTTCTGCGTCACTTCCGCCGCCGCCGCCTTATTCTTTTTGCGTTTCTTTCGACCTCCTCGTTGGCGCTTCCCGGTGTAGAAATTATTCACGTCATCATCATCTGACGCAGTGGCTGTCCAGTCTGCGATGGTGGTCTTAGGCGCTGGCGGTTGAGACACCGGTGTTTCCGTGGCAGAGGTTCCCACGCCTTCAACTGCGGGGCTCGTAACACTGGAAGGAGGTGGGATAGCGAATATGCTGGCGATGGCTTTTGCTTTTGCCTTCTGAGCCGCAATCTGAGGTCTCTTGGTAGGTTGGAATCTTAGGGAGGCTGTGCATCACTCGAGAAGCATGGCGCAAACGTGAGCAGATCCATTCAGCAAACCTTTAGGTCCTTACGACGAAGAAATGTACCAGCGAGTGCTTGCTGTCTCTTGACAGCCTCATCCTGTTCGGGAGAGCTTTCGACGGATTTGTAGGAGACGGGCGCACTGGAGATGGTGCCAGGACCAGCATTGTTCGGGTCGAGGAGGTTCGCATAGAGCGACAGGCCTCCCCGCGGGGGTGCCGGAGCATTGTTCGACATGTTCTCACATGTGCTGTGCTGTGCTTTGCGTCGCTGTGACTAGTGTTGGTTGAGAGACATGGAGAGTCATTCGCTCTGCGGAAAGTCTAAAGGTGTGGTCTCGTGATTAAGACCCCGACGGGCAGTTCTCGGGGGAAAGGAAGCACCCAGACCACCTTAGCCAGCAAAAGGCCCCCCGGGTAACCCTTTAGCAAGCCTAGTGAGCCCTAATGGGGCCCGGGTGCCCCTAAGATATGCTGTATGCATCGGAAGCTGCTTGCCAGGTGGTCCTTTGCGGTCCTCGGTTCACCAATCGCTTGGCTTCGGGCGCATCTCCTCGCGACTAGCGATTTTCGTGTCGTGTCCTATTCGGATGACTTCAATTTCTCCAAGCTGGAATTCAAACCTCCCGGTGCCAGATGTACCAGCTCCATGGACTTATCGAATCACCCGATATAAATTCAGGGCTTTTTTTGGCCCACACGCCTTTTCCATCATGTCCGGTGGAATACTAATATCGACATGGAGCCCGCGTAAGGTGTCAGGTTGGTCTTCTTATCTGTGGACATTCGCATCGCATCACGTCATTTTTCCATCTCAAGAGTTTTTTTCTGCTGGCTTTCGTTGACATTGTGATACAACTCGAATAGGGGATTGATTTTTTTTTCTTTTGGGATACCCATAGTGTTGTTTCTAGAATCTATCGCCGTCTCATTCTCTTCAACTGCGGTTCTATCTCACTCTCTGTCACAGTCTGCCCAGCCATGGTCACATCCACTCTTTCAACCTCCTTTCCCAAGATATCTTCCGCCACAGCAGTCATCGTCCCCGCAAAACCTAACGCTCTGACTGTTTCCTTCAAGCAACTGGGGCAAGATGTCTTGGTCTTTCAGAAGCAACTTGCTCAACTGGGCATTCGACATGCCGACGCCGTCTCTATAGCCCTACCCAACAGCTACGAGTTCATCGTGTCTTTTCTTGCGACCTCCTTCCAGCGCGCAATTGCGGCCCCTTTGAATCCTGCCTACAAGCAAAG